AGATGATTAAAACGATCAGTGTTCTGTATAATGGAACCTAATGGAATGAATAACACTACTATGTATGCATACATTTCCCTTCTGGTTATACCCAGTGATAGAGAACAATTCAGTTAAGATGTACCAATCTTGTCCCTAAAGAGAGCCTTTTAATACAGCAACTGGGTCTGCCTGATATTTGGTGCCTCTTCATTTATAATACGTGAAAAGTGAGCTGGTGTAGCTGGTGTAAAGTTCCTCATTCCACATTTCCCTGGGACAGGGAGAAAGCAAGGCTATGAAACTACATTTTTAAGACTACATTAATACATACCATCAGCTGCTTTAATCTATTCTTGAGATCTGCAAGGCACACAGAAGAATTTTTTGTCTATTTTTGATCAGCAGCTGTTCTAGGAAACACTAAAGTTAAGAAAGAGAAGGGGAAAGGAAAGCACTTGGGACTGTTTCTGTGAAGGGGGGGGGGGGGGGGGTTCCCTCATGGACAACGCATATTTTCTTTTTATAATCACATATTAGAAAATATCTTTGGGAGTCTACATTTTTATACTTTAAAATATTTCCTATGGCCATCCTATTGATTTGTTCAAATTAAATTTCCTGGCAGGATAAATTCTACACTAGATTTTAATCTTTATATTCCTACAAAGAATATGGAGTTGGCTCTGTATATGATAACAGCTGCTAAGATACTTTATACTTCTTACTGGAAATTAAAGATAATTCCTTCTTTAGAAGAATGGTAGACTCAACTATTAGAGTACAGGTATGGATCACTGTCAAAAAATAACTTTAAACAAGAAGTCTAAAGTTTAAAAAACTAGTCACCATTAGACTTTAAAAAACAAATAACCATTTATGAACTATAATTCTGCACACATAGATTTGTACTACATCTATAGTGGTTTCTTATAAAAATACTAAATTTTGCTTGATTCATTATAATAAGGAAAGATTTTCTCAGATTAAACTCCTAATTAATTGCTTATTCTGACTGATGATTCTTACCATATTGGCTTCCTTGCTAATTCCTAGTAAGTGCTAAATTAATATAATATCCCCTTTATATGCAGTACTAATCTAATACTGTAACAATTCTTACTCAGGTTTATACAGCTTATAAATCATGTTTCTCCTTTTTTCCTTTATTACTTTTTTAATCTCTTTTTTTCTTGGTTGCACTTTTAAATTCATCTTCAAATAAAATTTAAAAAAATTAAAAGCACTGATTGCTAGGTTTAAGAGACTCAGCTAAATATATTTTCATACATCAAATGTAATCTATGCCTGCCCAGAGTCCATTAGGATTGGGACAGGATATAAATATTGGAAATAAATACATCCAGGCCATTGTCAGATCCCTCTATCCATTGTTTCCTGCAGCTAATTTCTGGTTTTGTAATAGAAAAAAATATTGAACTTTACTGTGAAATCCATCTCTGGCTTCTCTTTTAAACACTGGGGAAAAGCTCTTTCAGCCTAGTTCTTAACCACTGATAGCTCCACAAAAGTACTGCAGGAGATCCCTTATACAGGCACCATACATATACATATACATATACATATACATATACATATACATATACATATACATACATACATGCACACATACAAACACATATACACACACAGTTGCTTGCAGAAAACCTCTTCCATATCACTATAGAATGGCCAAAAAGTTATGTTTATGATTATGATTATAACATTTCATTAGATTTTGACATTCTAATTCAACATTCATGAGCTTTGCCAGGTTTGCAAGTTTTGGGTCGTATTAAATTTTTCTTTAAAATTATTTTTATTTAATTTTGGGTCCTTTGGACACCATCTACAAAAATGTGTCATACTTCCTGGCACTAAACTGCCAACCTTTGATTTATGCAGGGATCCTCAAAAAAGCTTTTGATGCTAATAGTCTGCATAAAATGGAAAACTTTGGGCGTAATTATCTAGAAAACTTCATATATTATCTCTTCAAAACCTCTTAATTTTCTTCGGAGTTGGATTAATTAACCACATATTTATACATACTTTTCAGGACTTTCCAGACAGCAGCAGCAATACATAAGCCTGCTTTTATTTGAGAGTTATCATGGATAATTTGGACTCATTGGCCATGCTTATTTTTCCTAAGCAAAATCTTTACTTATAATAATGTGACATGTAACAAAGCTTTCCATAATTTACCAGGACAGTTAGACTAATTTCTGTGGTTTCCTGTGCCCTCCTCAAAGAAACACAGCTAATAGAATAACATATGCTCTGTACATATTGAACTGTAGTTTTAGTGCTTTGTCACATAAAAAGGTATTTACATGCTCTCCAGAATGAGAGATTTGGGAGTTAAAACCTTTTTGAGCTAGAAGAAGCAAATGAAAAAGACAACGAAAAAAATCCCGTTAATCTTTTCTTTTGCTTCCTTGACAGTTATAGTGCTGTCCAGTTTCTTTTCCTTTTCTGTTCAGACTAAATTTCAGCTGTTAAAAAACGGGCCTGAAAGCAGTTCCCTTGGACTAGCCTTAATTTGACATATAACCCATAATGCATGCTTAATATTTGTTCTGTGAGGATCTGCAAGTTTTATTCTTAAACTTAAGTCTACACTAAAACACTGAATAACTTCATCTGGAGATTCAGTATGCTGATGACACACAGCTCACATCTGTATTTTTCCTCAGATCCAGGTGAGGCAGTATTTTTTTATTTGGTTGGTTGTGAGATTTATATCCCACCTTTTGTTCAGGAGCTTAAGGCAGCTAACATAGTGCTCTATTCTTCCATTTTTCCCTATAGCAACAACTTTGTGAGATAGGTTGGGCTGTGAGTGACAAGCCTAAAATCCAATCAAAGGCTTTCCTGGTGGAGGGTGAATTAAAAATTGGGATTCTGCAATGCTAGTCCAGAATCATAACCAATACAATGGCTCTGTGTAGGAACACTTGATCGTCAGTTGACTGTGATAAGGGATAGGATGACAGCCAACAAATTAAAACTCAGGCCAGACAAGATGGAAGTGGTATTAGTGAACGGTTTACCTGTGGAAATGATAGCATTCAGCATATTTTCAGTTTAAATTCATAGTTTTGGGATTGCTTCTAAATCCATTTATATTATTAGAAATATAAGTGTCTTCTATGGCACCAAATCAATACTTCTGGATGGCACTGAGTATGGGTATTTGACAGGTTCATCAATATCCCAGGATAGTACATCATACATTGTTCCAAAAAAATCATTACACTGTGGTTTTATAGATTTTTGCAGTACTGACATTTAAGCAGTCACTTCTTCCATATAACAGTACCCTGCAGACAAGTTATTTCAGAGAAATACTTGCCTTATGTTTTCTTATCCAGGACTTTGGCTTAAAGAACTTATTCTACTGTACTTAGAAGGAAATGGAAATAACGGCTGCCATTATTTTTCCACTAACCTGCAATTATTTATTGAACTCACATTTTATAAATATTTTACTGCATTGCAGCATATGATAAATAGCACAAGGCTGTTCATAATATTTCTCTAAATTGACGAATTTGGTTATATGGAACCCAGCAAGCTTCCAAGTCCAGTTCAAGGTGATGGTTACCACTTTATATAAAGCCCTTCATGGGGCAGTCTTATATGCGGGACTGCCTTTCTCCAATTGTTTCTGCCTGGCCTACTAAATCTGGCAAGGTAGGCCCATTTATTAAGCAGTGCCATGCGGAGGGACCCAGAAAGGGTCTGCCCGTTGGAAGCTCATACCCCCTGCAATTTGTTTGGCCCTGACTCTGCTGGCATTTTGAAAATCCTTGACGAACTGGATGTCCCCTGGGCCTGGGGCCTGTAGGTTGGGTGAGCCTGGCATTGAGTTTTTTCCTGACATGACTGGGATTATGTGGTTCACATTTGACTGTCCTCTGATGCCAGTGTGCTATTATTTTGTTATTTGTTTTGATTTTTCTTGTTCTGTTGGTTTTTAATTTTGTGTTCACCACCTAGAGTCACGACTGGAAGATGGGTGGCTATATAAATCAATATAATAAATATAATGTTACCTTGATACAGTTACTGTATCAATATTGTTTTTGTTTTCTATTTGTCTCTTGCTTAGCACTGATGTTTTTTACAGTACTAACAGTTTCATTCACTGTATATTGAACTATTTATGTAAATGGCCTGGATCTGATTTCAGAGATTTTAACAGAAGCATACATAATATGAGGCAGGCAGGAAGCAGGCAATGGCAAACCACTTCCGAAATCTTGCCAAGAAAGCTGTAGGGACTTGTCCAGGCAGTCTCCAGGAGTCAACACTGGCTTGAAGGTACAAAAAAAAATGAGGCAGAGTTTTATATTGAGATGGCTGTTTCTGGTAACTTGTTTTGGGATGTTAAAAGGGCAGCAAACTATTTATGATTTCTGTATTTTTGTCAGGAAGATAATTTTGAATGGTTTTCAGACTGCCTTAGATTTCAAAATAATTTGCTGTGATAGGTATTTTGTGGGAATTATGGATTTCCTTCTCTGCTTTAGATAACAACAAACTGGTCTTACATGTAAGATTGTAACTTGGATTCAGCTTTGGTCACCAGCTGGCTGGCATACCTAAATCTGCATCTCAGCATATAGCATAGGTGTGAATATCCATGTTGTTAATGGCCACTTCCTCATCAGTGAAGTATTGTACTGAAACTTATAGCTACAACTATCACTCTACAGACATGGCATTAATGAAGTCAGACTTTATATTATTACCAAGATTGTGGGGTGACTGCTACTCGCTAGTGATGAAATAGTTTCAGAACAATATAGGCTTGTGCCCATATTCCTAAATGACATTTATGATAATATTTCAAAATTGTTCTTGTGTATATTTGACCCCTGTCATAACCATCCAGCAGAGCACATGCATCCTCCTGTTTACAACTGAAAAAGACAGTTTTCCAGTTGCTGCTCTCCCAATGTGTTTGATTTCCAACTTCCTTAATTCCCTATCTAATTAAATTCCATTCATAGGACACAAGGCTAGGGGAACTGGCATTAAGACAAACGAAACTGCAATGAAACTGTTACAAGATTCTCTGTATCTTGGCTGATTTAAGATTCCAGGAAACGTCGGTTTGTGGGTGGAGTTGCTTCCTCTTGATTAATTGAGTATCAATGACCGGAGGGGTTCGACTCTCTCTAGCACGATTTTAATAGAAGAGCTGGAGCAGTAGTCGTTGCCCTCGTCCCATATCGTTCACGACTCTAGCGCGAGCCTCCCATGACGTCGCCCGATTTGCCCGCGCCCGGTGACCAGCCGCCCGCATCTAGAACTCGAAAGGACAACAACCGTTGACAGAATAACAATTGCTTATCTTTTTCGCTATTAAGTTAGGAGGCGGGCTCCCAGCAACCGTTACTTCCCATGTGTGACGCACGCCGCACCTTCATTGGGGCAGCGTTCGAAAGGCTCGGCTGCGATTGGAGAAAGCAGAATGGAGAGGCGGGCTTTGGGCGGAGAATGTTGTGGCAAGGCTCTGGGAAGGATTCCCGTCCGCCCCGGCCGACTATAA